TAATCATCCCTAATGCTGAACACAATGACTTCCCTAGAGTGGATACTCAACATGAATGAATGGACAAATGGTCATCCAGTTGAAAAAAAAGAAAAAAAATGTACACAATAGGAAGTGGCAGAGACTGGTAAATACTCTGTCTACAGAGGACAACCATTACTTAGCTTCAGCCATTTCTTGACAGGTAAGAACATGGTGTGCAGGTTGCCAAATTTTTACATTTTCAAGCGAAGCTGGACATCTAGATTTTTATGTGACTTTTTTGACCTTATGGCAAGAAGGAGCATAGTTCCTGCCCAGTGTGGTATCCTCTTATAGGATAAATAGATCATCATGTAGTCAAGTCAGATATTTGTAAGGATGAAAAATATAGGCTAGTTTTCTTTCTATGATTTTCTTTCTTTTTTTAAAAAGATTTTATTTATTTATTTGAGAGAGACAGAGATAGCAAGAGAGAGCATGAGCAGGGAGGAGAGGGTGACTCAGGGCTCAATCCCAGGACCCTGGGATCATGATCTGAGCCGAATGCAGGTGCTTAACTGACTGAGGCACCCAAGTGCCCCTCTCTCTGATTTTCAATGCTAGTTGAGTATCAGTATTTCTGGAAAGCAGGAGTAACAGTAAAAGTTCCTCTACAGGACTTACCATGATAGAAACCAGTTAGGCTATTTTGATTCTTGGACATTGTTCTCTTCAGCCTATCATATGCTATCGCCAGAACAAGAAAATCCAAGAAGCCAGAGTCTGGAGGCATCAGTAATCTGGGACAGATAGTTTGGGTCATGTTAACTGTAGAATAACTGTGTCCTAATAAGAAGATCATTGGGGTGGTTCATTTGCCATTTTCGGCCAACGGCTTGTGACAGGGAAGACCTAGCAAAATACGGGCTCAATAAACATTCATTGAGTGAGTGAATGAATGAATGGATGGATGGATGAAAAAATTGTTCATCCAGAGAAAAATAATTCTTCTAACTTTCAAAAGAATATGAGGGAAAAAAGCATGCTACCTATCTCACTTCTCCAACTTCATTGCTGTCTCTCCACTGAAGTCCCATATAACCTCACGCCTAGACTACTATGTTAGTTTCCTTTTTCTACTTTTTTTTCCTTTTTCTACTTTTAATTCCTACCTCACTCACCATATACTGCACTATTCCACCATATTGATTTTCAAAAATATCACCCTTTCTTAGTAGATTACTTTACTTCCTATTTCACAAAGGCTATATCATGCATGAATGCTCTGAACTTCCTGCCCTTCCCCCCACTTCTAAAAACATATCTGCATATGCTGTCACCTAGCTTCTTTTCCTTGTTCCAAAAGGAGAGGTTTCAAACCCATCCTATTCCAGCCACCTGAGCTGGGGCTCTCATTCCCTCCCAGCTCCTTGAGGACCTGGATCCATCAGCCGTTTCTTTTCCTTCCTGTGCCTTCAGCCTCCTCTTCTTTAGCTCTTCCCCTTTAGCCTGTAAACAAGCTCAAGTCTTTCTCAGTTTAAAAAAAAAAAAAGTGCATTTCTCAAGCTGCCACCCTGAATTTCTCCTACTCACTCCCAGGCTTCTTGAAAGACTGTGCTTTATTTTATTTCTCCACTTTCTTCCCACTCCCATAGGCTCCTGCCCACACCTCTCTACTCCAACTGCTCTATGAATGTTATCTGTGGCCCTTGGGTGCCAAATCCAATCAACAGTTTTCATTACTTATTTATCTAATCTGTCTACAGCTTTCACACTTTGGGCTAAAAAATTTTTTGGCTGGTTTCAATGGAACCATTTCTCCTCACTCTAGAATAATTTCTTCTTACTTTTCCTCTGCCCACACTCAGCTCCTGGTGCATCTGAATCATTTGTTCTGTGCTGTCCCTTCTCAGCCTGCAGATCGATGAGGTCTCCAAGCTGATGACATCACCATAAACTGGTAATTCCAGAATCTCTTCATCTCCCTCAGCTTCCTCCAGTTTGATAGACTCGGGTGCATACTGAGCATGCAGCATAATTTACTGTAATTCCCTCTCCCCTAGAGTTGTCCTTCTCACTCCTGTTTGCCATATCTTGGTAAATAGCACTACCATCTATCAATCACCCATGTCAGAAACATGAAAGAGATTCTAGGTTCTTCTGTCTTCCAATCCAGTTAGGCATGAACTCCTGAGAATCTAAGAAAAGTAACTCTTCAAGCCGCTTTCCCATATTCACCTATCCTGCCTGGTTCTTTAGCTATTTGGCTGATTGTTTTTTAGCTATTCACTTACTGTAGTACAAAGGAGGCCATATTAAGAATCCTATAAAATATTCTTTGTTTGCTATAAAATTGTCAGTGGTGAGTTCAAATCTCTTGTAAGAACATCTAGAAATTTATACCACATACTTTATCTTATTCAAAAGTCAGAATATAATGAGATACCACTTCACAGCCACTAGGATGGCCATTATCAAAATGAAGCAAACCAGAAAATAACAACTGGTGACAAGAATGTAGAGAAATTGGGACCCTTGTTTACTGTTAGTCAGAACATAACTACTGTCGAAAATATTATGGCAGTTGCAACAAATTCTAAACATACAATTGCATTTCTAGGGCTCTATATGTAAAGGAATTGAGAGCAGGAACTAGAATAGATATCTGCACACTCACACTCATAGTGGCATTATTCACAAGAACCTGAAAGTGGAAACATCCTAACTGTCCATTGACAATGTCCATTCACAAACTGGTAGGTATGTCTGCACATGTATGTGGATATGTATGCGTATATAAATATAAATTAGAATATATATAATATGTAGAATATGTATACAATATATATTGCATATGTACATAATGAAATGTTATTCAGTTTTCGAAAGGAATGAAATTCTGATGCATGGTACAATATGGAAGAACCTTGAGGACATTTTGCTAAGTGAAATAAGCCAGGCATAAAATGACAAATGTTGGATGATTCCACTCATAGATAAGATACCTGGAGTAGTCCAATTCATAGAGTCAGAAAGTAGTAGTATGATGGTTTCAAGGCATGAAGGAAAGGAATAATAGTGAGTTATTATATAATGGGCATAGAGTCTCAATTTGGGATGGTGAAAAAGTTCTGGAGATGGGCAGCACTAATGGTTGCATTGGAATATGAATGCACTTAATGCCGCTGAATGGTACACTTAAAAATGGTTTAAACAGTAAGCTTAGTCATACATATTTTACCAATATCTTATTCAACTCAGGCTGCTATAATAAAAATGACATAGACTGGATAGCTTAAACATAAAAATTCATTTCTTCCAGTTCTGGAGGCAAGGATGTCTAAAATCAAGGTGCCAGCACATTGGGTGTCTGGTGAGGTCCTGCTTTCTAGCTTGTAGACAGCTGCCTTCTTGCTGTATCCTCACATGGCCAAGAGAAAAATCATCTTTCTCCTGTCTCTTCTCAGAAGAACACTAATCCCATTCACGAGGGCTCCAGCCTCATGATCTAATTACATCCCAAAGACCCCACTTCCAAATGCCCCTATATTGGGGATTTAGGCTTCAGCATATGAATTGGGGGGGGGGGCATTCAGTTGATAGCAAATCACGATTTACAAATTAGAATGTATTTATCAGATTAATAAAAATTGTCATTCTTAAAATGTCTTCCTGTAGAGTTCCAGAAGTATATACTTTGTCCTCAATGATACAAGGGTGTGTGAACTAACTGAAGCAAGTGAGATTTTGCCAGAAGGGTAGGAGAGACCAGTTCTAAAAGACAATCAGAGATGTCAAAGAACACTCTGAAATTCCTGGAGAGAAAGAAATAGGGAATGTCTATACCTGAGAAAGTGACCCTGATGGGGGTGTCTATTCCTCCAGAGACTCCGATTCCTCTATTTGTATCCCTCTAGAAGCTCAAGAGGAAAGTGTGTGTTTCCCAGCTTGAGCAGAACCCTCCCTACTTCTGTTAAAGCAAGCGTGCATACAATGCACTCCAAAACAAAATGGGGTAATAGGGACCAGTTTAAAAATACATGCATTTTTTAAGTAATTACAAAGAAATTCAAAAGTTGAATAAAAGAGAAAAGCAACTCAAGATCAGAACAAAGCCTCTGGGAGCTCTAACAGGAAAATATGTGTATCATTGGTGAGTGCCAATGTAAATACAGCACACAAACCCAAAGCTTATCTGTGTGGTTTCCATAGTGTCAATATATATATGCAAAGCTGATCTGACTGCACTCAGAGCCATCAAAGGTCATGGAAGTAAAAACAAAAGTCAGATTGTCTGTGTGACAGAGAGTGCCAGGGTTCCTGGACATTTTCTCATTTCTAGAGAAGTGAGCGAGAGGTGGCAGTAATGTTCTTTTCCTCTCTCTCTCTCTCTCTCTCTCTCTCCCCCCCCCTTCCCTTCCTCCCTTCCTTTCTCCCTCTTTCATGAATTAAAGCATTCTTTTCTTTGAGTCCCAGGAAATGAAATTCAAATTTACAGTGAAAGGTTACCAATGAAAGAGATGACCCGTTCCTTTTTTTTTCTTTGACCCGTTCCTTTTAATATATATTTGTTTTCATGTATAGTTGCACTATAGTTAAAACGAGAGCTATTTTTTTTTTAAAATTGACCTGCTTTGGGAGGAGGGATAAATATGCACTCTTTTAAATTTTCTTTTGCTTGTCCAATCAGAGTAGCTTCAGATAAATGAATTGCACAAGAATGTCTGCTGTAGCAACACAGAATCAGGATGAGAGTAACAGCACATCACACATTTCTCTTCGGTTGTGCTACAGTTTGGGGGCACAGATCAGGAGGCTACTGAAATGTTAGGTGGATGTGGGTGACAAATTATACTAGTTGAAAAGGTAGCTGAACTCAGTGGGATGAGTTTGCCTTGGTATTTAGAAGTTTAAATAGCAGCTGTGTACTGAGGATAGGTTTTTTGGGGAGGAGGAGGGGAGGTAACATTTTTTAAAAAGAGACTGTAATGATTTCCTGCTCGCTTAAAGGTAGTGAGTATTTATTTGTTTATTTTTAGGTAAGCTCTATGCCCAACATGGGGCCGGAACCCACAACCCAGAGATCGAGAGTCTCCTGCTCTACTGACAGAGCCAGCCAGGCATCCCTGAGTTTTTGTTTTTGTTTTCTTGGGTAGAAAAGTATGGAAATGAAACGGTGAGTGTATTCTACAAGCTATTCTTGAATTATTAGTATAGGCTGTGCAGTCTGCCAGGTGCACTTGTGAGTTATTTGAAGCTCACATCTGTTGAGTAATTTCCCCAAGGTCTCACTGCTAATAAATAACAGGACATAGGCCTTTGTAGTTCTAAAGTCCATGCTTTTAGATCCTCACCTATGTTACTTCTCAGTTATATTCATTAGAAGGGCAGTGTTCCTCATTGTGTGTCCCTATACCTGGACACGCAGTATACCTATACTCCTCCTTCACACCTAATTCTCAGACCCTATGCCTGAGGACTAGTGACTTCCTCACTCACTATAGTTCATAGTACTACTCCTATTAAACACTAATAACAATAATAATTTATCAATAAATATATCAATTCATCGACTGAAACTCTGCTAAGAACTTTGTGAGGAAAAGGAAAAAGAGGGGCACCTGGGTGGCTCAGTGGTTGAGTGCCTGCCTTTGGCCCAGGTCATGATCCCAGGGTCCTGGGATCGAGTTCCGCATCTGCCTCCCCACAGAGAGCGTGCTTCTCCCACTGCCTGTGTCTCTGCTTCTCTGTGTGTCTCTCATGAATAAGTAAATAAAATCTTAAAAAGAAAAGGAAAATGAACTTTGTGAGTTTTATTTCATTTAATACTTTCAATGGTGCTTGAAGGTGGATGCTCTGGAATAGACTCCTCTAGGGTTAGATCTTTGTGGCTTTATTTATGAGCTGTGTGACCATGGACAAGTTATTTAACTTTCCTGACTTTTCATTTCTTCATCTGTAAGATGGAAATAATAAAAGCATCTAAGTGAGCTGTTGGGAAAATTAAGCAATATAGAAAAAAAGCCAGTGTACATAATCAATACTGACTACAAATTATTAGAATTAATACAAATACTATTAATAATTTCACCCATCTGTAAAATCCCTGCCATGTTCATATAGCTCAGCTCTGAGGCCTCTTGTCTTGATTTCCTCATTTTTTAAAAATTCCAGTTCCCTGCCTAGAACTGAAACCTACTGTGGACACTAATCCAGTGGCTGGATCTTTTTTTTTTTTTTTTTTTTTTTTTTTTTTTTTTTAATCCTTTTAGTTACACTGAGCCACCCAGGTCCCCCCAGTGGCTGGATCTTTAGGACCCTGTGCTCTATTCCTGGGAACTGGATCTTGTTTCCTACATCATCAACTGCTGGCTGGGATGCTGCATATCACTGACTTCCAATGGAGCCAGGATGTACTACCATCTGATTTTTAATATCTCTATTGTCATCATCTGCCAGGAAAATTAGACCCCCTTAGCTCTGTCTTTGATTAGGCTCTAGTCCAAGATGATTCTTTACTAACTCCAGTTTTTTTTTCCCCCAGGGGCGGCGATTGATCGCCATACTAACTCCAGTTTAAACTGCTGAGTGTCTCCTGTCTTACTCAATCCTGCTTCTTGCTCTTCCCTGCTAGCTATCTTTAAAATTATAGTACACCTTGATGTCAAACTCACCTAAGATTCAGCATATAATATTATAGTTACAGAGGAGTCAAAGATGAAAATACATAGTCCTGTGTTAAAAGAACTTATACTCTTCATAAAATTGAAAAAATATAAGACATAGGTAGCTTATATGCCCTCTTGGATACTGTTGGCCTTGCCTTCTCTGTATTCCAGCCATCAACTCCTCCTTGGAAGCTTCTATGGTATACCTATTCTATGTCTCACATGATTCTGCTGTCTGGATTGAACTATTTGCTTGTCTAAGAACATTGGCCTTGGGCAGCCCGGGTGGCTCAGCGGTTTAGCGCTGCCTTCAGCTCAGGGTGTGATCCTGGAGACCCAGGATTGAGTCCCATGTCAGGCTCCCTGCATGGGGCCTGCTTCTCCCTCTGCCTGTGTCTCTACCTCTCTCTCTCTGTGTCTCTCATGAATAAATAAATAAAATCTTAAAAAAAAAAAAAAGAACATTGGCCTTTCACTTGGGTTATCACTGTGTAGTCAGGTAAGCAGCCATACATCCAGAGTCTCTGGTTGCTTCTCTCTTATTTATGGGCTTAGATGAAACACTTCGCCACAGGGCATGGGATCTGGCTTCCTGATCAGTCAGATGCCATATCCAGAAGCACAGGATCCTGAGCCAGTGGAAGCCAGGAGACCAGAGGGAGCCAATTCTCTGCTAAGAATTCTCTCTCCTTTTTCCCTCCCCTCCTTTCTCAGACACAGTTTCCCAGTGTGCCTGAGCAGATGAAAACTGGCAAGTGATTGTCTTAGTCTCTCCATGGCTCACTATGGAGTAGTGACCAACGTGGTGATCTTGTGTTACCTACCCTTCTCACACGTACCTTCTGTCGCCCTCATTTTCACTGCCCTGGAATTGCATTTCCCATACAAAGTTTATTACTTAATTCATGCATCAGGCTCTGCTTTTGAGGAATGAATGGACCTCAGAGCTCCAAAATTTGAGACTCTTAAGCAAAAGAATGAAAGGGGAGTCATTAGGCTTAAAAGAAGAAAAGACCTAGAATAAGAAGGGTTCTCACGTAGCCCCTGTTCTTTCTGATACCTGACCATCATTCTCCACACAAACCTCCTCCCTGCACCATCCTCCTCCCCCAATGCACACTGCCCCCTACTAGAACTAAAATTATTTTGCCTTCAGGACTAGCATTTAACCCAGCATTTCCCTTCCACCGACTGTTTTGCCTAAAAGAAAAAAAAATCACTTTAACTGTTGATAAATCCTTTCATTCCACAATTAGAGATAAGAAGCTAAAAATATAAATAACTGAATCAGTTTTAGCTATAAAGGATGGGGGAAGAGAGTGGCAGAGCAAAAATGCAGTGGGCCCTTGGAAGGGGACAGAGCAGCCTGGAGGCAGGACAGATGATTTTATCCAATTATGTGATTTATTCACGGCTCTGCACTGCTCATCTTCAACTGAGACTAAGCAAAGAACGGCCGGACATGGCAGTCCTGTGGGGACATACATAGGCAAATTATAATGGAAACTATGATCAGATAATAGGCTTAAGCAGAGATCTAATCCATGATAGAATATTTATTAAAATTGGACAGAATTCCATATGTGGAATGTCAAGTGTATTAAATAAGGGAATGGTAATGCTGGACATTATAGAACTGAATGAGTGTTATAGTTCAAATTATGTCACAACAAATGCTATTTCAAGGAAATCCTTTATGGAAGAAAATCTAAATCTAATCCTGGAGTGATAGTCCATCTATTTAAAATCAAGTTTGTTGCACTTTATCAGCCAAACACAGATAGGATCTTAAAGTTCATTGTATAAGGTGTAGTCCATAGGTGTGTGAGATACTAGAGAGGAAGCTCAATAAGAACGGATGATGGATAGTTGGAAGGCAGGGCGGCAGGCACAAGGAGCAGCCTGCCCCCCCACTCCTGGAAGGAGCCCTCCACTTTTTCCCAAGTGATGGATAGGTGACAGAAACCCAACTGGATGACAGGCACAGGAAAGGTTAATCTGATTAAAGCACATCATAAAAACCTGTAGATTTAGAAACTCTGGTGGCAACCCTCTCGGGTCCCCTCCCTCCTCAGGAGCTGTGTACCATCACTTTGCTATTGCTCAATAAACCTTGCTTTGCTGCCTACCTCTCTGTCTGCTCTGCCTCTTCATTCTTCGGAGCAGCATGACCAAGAACCATGGGCACCGATGTAGGAAAAACCCTGTAACACTGACAGTGTTTGAAGTAAAAAATTGCAATCCTGTGAGGTTCCCAAGTGTGGCTATTATTAAAATCAGTTTCTCTGTATGCACCCCAAAATTTTACTCTCTTCACTTTGTTGATTGCCTTTATTTGCCTATGATATTTCAGTTGTGTCATCAATGTTGATGAACAAGATCATCAAATTATATATGTTGTTGTTTAAGCCTATGTGTGTTGTAGCTATTTAATATCACAAATTCCTGTCCTAGTTAATCCTTTTAGTTACATCCTATTTTTCAAACATGTGGATGTTTGTTTAGTTGACTTTAGTTAACCTAACAGTGAGAAAAGCATATGCCTGCATCATATGAATGTCTTCCATGAAACAAAAGGAACCTATTCATGACAGTTAAAAACTCCCCATAGTCCCATAAGCTAATTAAAATGAAGTAGAGTCACACTAGGTAGCAATAACAAATTAATATTTAATTCATAATAACTACTTTTAGGAGCACCTGGGGTGGCTCAGTTGGTTAAGCATCAGCTCAGGTCATGGTCTCTAGTCTCAGAGTTATGGGATTGAGCCTCTCCACCCCCATTCTGGCTCTGCACTCACTAGGGACTCCTTTGAGATTCTCTCCCTCCCTGCACTTGTATTCCTCAAGTAGAAAGTTGAGAATCTCCTCTGTCCTGATGACATAGTGAGAGACTGGAAGCAGGGAGTGGAGTGAGAAGGTTACCACAATGGTCCGGGAACCTTCTCTCTCTCTCTCTCAAATAAATAAAATCTTAAAAAAAAATAAGATAAATACTTTTAAATTGCATTTTCTATGTTTCCACACCCCATTGGAAATAATCTATATTCCAAAATTCAATAGTATGAACTATTTTTCTATAGTTGTTATAAAAAGTATCAAAAATTTAATGGTTTAACACAATGCAAAGCTTTTATTTTATACTCCTGTAGGTCAGAAGTCTAGTACAAGTCTAACCAGGCTAAAGTCAAAGTGTCTTCAGGTTTATATTCCTTTCTCTTGGTTCTAGGGGAGTTTCTACTTCCTTGTTTTTTCAGGTGTTGACAGAATTCAGCTCAATGTGGTTAAAGGACTGAGGCCCCATTTTCTTGTTGGCTGTAAACTGAGGGCCATTCTTGACTTTTAGAGGCCTTATATTCTTTGGCTCAGGGTCCTCTTCCTCCATCTTAAAAATCAGCAATGGTGGGTGGAGTCTTTGTTGCTCATATCTCTGATTACAGCTGGAAGATTTCTGACTAGATTGGGCCCACCTGGATTATCCACGCTAATCTGGATAGATAATTTCCCAAAGTCAAGGTCTATAACCTCAATCATATCTGCAAATCCCCTTTTGCTTATGGAAAGTGACATAGTTACAAGTTCCAGAGATCCAGATGTAGTCATCTTTGGGGGGGATGGGGGGCATTATTCTGCTTACCATACATAAGGAAGCACGTGGGTGGGGGCACAGAATAATGCTCTAGGAGAGGACTGTGCTTTTTACATTTTCTTTTCAATAAAATCTTCTCCCAAACATTTATAGATGTTTATAGATGATTTATAGCTCTTGAAATAACATGCATACTGATTTATAGTTCATAACTAAAGCCAACTGAAGAAATCCTTCATCCTGAGGCATGGCTTACTAGAAATGTTTTCTGTTGCTAGAAGTTCTGTTGGCCTCTCCTTATTGGGTAACTATATCAACCAGCATAAAGAGCCTCCTGGCTCTGGACTTCATGGTCCAATATTTGGATCCTACAAACTGCCTTAGATGTTTAAGTGGAACTAGAACAAGTCTCCAGAAGTATATGACTTGACTTGAGACTCCATTCCAAACCTTGGAGTATCCTATCAATGGAATGGGCTAGTTCTAGGCCTCTCTAAGTGGCTCAAAGTTACTTTTAGGTAGCCTCCAATGAGGATCTGATTTAATCCAGATATTTCAAAGTCAGACTTCCCTGGTGGTCATTTTTCACTTTGGTGTGGACTATTGATTTAAGTTCCTGGACTATTGTAGTAACCTTCTCACTCCACTCCCTGCTTCCAATCTCTCTCCCTGTCATCAGGACGGAGGAGATTCCCAACTTTCTACTCGAGGAATATAATACACTTCCAATAAGAGTGCCTCATAATGTACTTCTCAAAACAAAGTTCTGTTAAGTTTATGAAAGAGTCCCAGACAATTCTGAATTCCCAAAGGTGAACCAAGTGATTCTAGAATCTGCCTTCTTACTCACTTTTAGGGGGCAAATGATTATAATAATAAAAAACCTTCTTCTTATCATTGTTATAACTCTTATATGCTGCTTACTATGTGCCAGATATTGTCCTAAGTACTTTATGTATGTTATAATTTATTTAATCTTCATATCAATCCCTGAGGTAAGTGCTATTATTAAGCCAGTTTTACCATTGAGGGAGATAAGATTAAGTGATTTACAGTCATACAGCTGTTAAGTGACAGCTGTGATTTGAACTCAGATTCTACACTTTCGACTACTAAGTCAAACTCTACCCCAGCACCTTCTGTTGAGAATCATTGCACTACATTAACTATTTTGCTAAAAAATATTATCACATCCCTGCCTTTCAAAACTTTCAGTTTAAAATGTTAGCATAAAAAAAATGTTAGCATAACATTCAAAGCTCTTCGTAATCCACCTCTATCTTCAATATTGAACCTATTTTGTTTTAATATCCCATCTCCTTACTAATTTCCCCTCCTTTTATAAATTACTGAGACAGGGGTGTTAAAACCTTCCAATATGCCTAAAACAAAGCTATTTTTAAAAAAAGAAAAAAAAAGAAGACATTCTAATATCCCATCACATCTGCTTTTCTTCAATAAAGCATGTGTTAAGTGTCTATTTGAGCTAGACTATGTTAGGTAGAAAGGATGTAAAGATCCTACAAAAACTATAGGGAAATAGAGAAATAATTATAATAAATAAGGGAGTTAACTTATCCAGCTTTTATGTGCCAAGCATTATTCTATTACTCACATTTTATTTACCTCCTACTCTACACTGTAGATGGTCCTCTCCTTGTTTGACAGATGCAGAACCTACAGTCAACATTGAGTAAGTATTTGAACCAAGGATGTGCATCTGAGATATGAGTAGCATAACTGATTCAGTCAGGCCCGTCTGAATCCAAAGCTCAAGGTCTCTCAACTATGCCAGTGTTT